GTCTGCAAAATCATCCAGCAGCACAGCAAAAAGAAACACGTATAAACAGCTCTGGTAAGCCAATAAGACAACAGCCAGCAAGAATTGAGCTTTGGTCAGTGTCCTATGAGGAACAGACATAAACAATATATTAAAATCCAGTTTCCAGAGAAACATCAATGCATGGGAACAAATCGCATCAGAGGAAAGTGGTATCTTTACACAAAAGAAGAAATCTGCCAAACCAAAAAGAAAGCAGGAGCTGCGCAGGTACGCAAGGGGGATAATGCAAAAAGTGTCCAGGAAGCAGCCTCCTTTCCTAGTTGACAGTACCAGTGATCCTTCCTAGCATGATTTGGCCAGACAAGTCATCTCTCTACCATTAGAAATCCAAAGGGCGACTACATAGTTCTGATTGTTTCCAATGGACAAACAAGCACAAAACATCTACAGCATGTGACAACTACAGGAAAATTCATCTTGGAATTCACTTAAAACATCTTATGCCTTTTTTATTATCCTCTGTCACCAGAACAATTTAGAATGTTAACCTTGTTGAACCCTTTTACCACTACCTTAAGTTATTAGATTTTACTTTTTACACATACCAATACAATCTTTAGAACAGAAAATGCAAAAGCAAGACATTTATTTCTGTGTAACTTAGTGGACTGATTCATAATACCGAAATGCAGGTCAGTGTTGGAAAGCAGCTTGTGAAAAGGTATCCTAACCAGGTTTTCCTTCCAAAAGAGATTTTCTCCTGTTTCTGCATGACTTTGATGTTTCATACTATTTATACCTCCGCCAAGGAGGTTATGTTTTCACCCCTGTTTGTTTGTTTGTCTGTCTGTCTGTCTGTCATCAACATAACTCAAAAAGTTATGGACCGATTTTGATGAAATTTTCAGGAACTGTCAAAAGTGGGCCAAGGAACAGATAATTAGTAATCAATCAATAATCAAAAATAAAAAACTAAATCATTATAGAATGAAAATTTAGGGGTGAAACGGCATTGGGTGGAGACTTTGCTGCCTTGGCGGAGGTCTGCGCTCTCATTAATTAAATGATTCTTAAATGTTTCTCATAAAACACTTAGACCATTATGTCTTCCTGTACAATTAGAAGGAAATGGACATTGGGTACTTTTTTCAGTGGCTTTATCATTTAAGGTCTGAGTACTGATAATAAATAGCTTTATAGTATATACAGATATAAAAAAAAACTTTAAGACAGTTTCAAGTACTGAAAGTATTCCATTATTCTTTTTTTTTAGCTCATAAATTTCTGTTAATATTTGCAGCATTGAAGCTTTCTCAATGCAATGTAAAAATCTAGTAAATTATTTTCCTCAGACTTACTGAAGTGATTCCTAGCACTCAAGCAATTGACAACCTGGAATATGCTCATATCTCAAGAACCCAAATTCAGAAGTGAAAACAGCTCCTTGCATTTATTTTATGAAGCATTTAATTTCCCCAAATTTACAGAATAATAGTCACTATTTCACCATATACTTTTTGATATATCAAAGTTCTATAACTTTGCTTTGTTTACTTGTTTTTATTGTCAGAAGTGAAATTTACCTGTCTCTATCATTCACCTTTCTACAGATAATGACGTGCATGCGCAGTTAACCCATTTCGACTTGTCGTGGCCTAGTGACACGTGCAGTCACACATGACCAGTGGAAATGGGTTAACCACACATGCATGTCATCGTAAATAGGCATGGAACCCGACCCACAGAAATGAGTTAACTGCACATGCGCGACATTATCTGTGGAAAAGTAAATTACGGCAGTTACTCAGAAACTGCTTGTTTTGAACTCATTATGGTTTAAGAGACTGTAATTTTGTGAATGATTTAGGATTTGGTGTACTTTGGTGATTCAGGAAAAATGTTGAAATATCCAAGTCAAATCCAATGTTTGCTTTATAGAGGTCTTCCTCATGTTCTGTGCCTTTAATGTGTCTAAATATTTTATGAATAATTCATTTTGAATTTTCAAGAAATAAGGAAATCAATGTTTCCAAAATCTTGCAAGTATTTTGTGGACAATCAGCACCGCTTTGATAGGTTTTGCCTTTACACTTTGTCATACAAAAATATGAAACCAAAATCACTGATCTTAAACATAATTGAAAGTACGAGACCTTTGACGTGTAAAGCATATTGAATATAATTTTCTAACTCCTTTCATCTGATCTTGGAAAATGTTTTATAAGCCCAAGAAGTAATTATGGTTGTTGCAATTTGCAGCACTTCATAGCTGATGTAACCAGCATTCCCATTCCAATGTGTGCATCCTAAATTACCCTGTAGGAAAAGTTTAGAAATAAACTGATTAGAAAGATAGAAACTATTAAGGGCAATCCCTTGGCAGAGCTGCAGCAATCTTTTCATGGCTAAATCAATACAGTTAGTTACTATTGGGGTTATTCAGTGAAAATCTATCCAAGTCGTGACTTAAGATGCAAGTTTCACTTAGATATAATTTAGGTAGGACTGACCAAATGCTAATGTCTGTAACACAGAGCAGCACACTGATTGTCTGGTACAATGTGGACAGTTTAATAGAAATACCCATAGCATTATATTGCTCCTTTTGTGCCATAGATATGTGTCTGTGCTAGTCTAGAAGATTCATATCATCTGTGCTTCAAATAAGAAAACATCATCAGATATCGTTCTGTCATACAAGATGAAGTGACTTCCCCTTCCAAGTAATTGTCCTTGATGTAATTGCTTTGGTTTTCCATTGGACAGTTGAAAATGGTTTATTTTTCTTAAACAGAATAGGACAGTATAGGCAGGTTATTCATAAAGTCTCATTTGCTGCAATCATTTCTTGCAACACCCAATGGAAAAAATGATTAAAAAGTGCTGGAAATGCTGCATTTTCTTTTATAAACTTAATATCTTGATTCAATTTTCAAACACCAAGATTTGACTATTGATATTTAGAAATAAACCTAAAGAATATTTTTGTCAGTTTGCCTGAAGAGGTAAAAGAAGCATTTTTATCCTTGAGGTTACTGTGTGAATTTTGATGCTATATCTTCTCTCTCACACCAGATGACAAAATTATCTACAATAATCTCTCTGTAACTCGGGCCTCATAAATGGATTAGGCATTTACAAACACTACCCACAGATCTTTTAGCACTAACACCCATATGAACCACAAAACCCAAAAATTAACCAGCATTACCAGAGCAGATGAATGTTAGTGCTAGGTATCATTTTGTTGTTGCTAAATAATTGTACAGTGTTTTGTGGTTAATATAGGTGTTAATGCCAAAAAAGATCTGCAGGTAGTGTTAGTAAATGTGTAATCCATTTATGAGGCCTGAGTTACAGAGAGATTATTGTAGATAATTTTGTCATTTGTCAGTCTTATACAAATTGAACCAAAGCCTGCTAATAACAAACAAGTACTTTGAACATTATTTGCTTTATTAGAATTAATCTTTAGTATTTGACATTACAGAGATGTATTTAAAACAGTTGTTAAAATTCAGTTTGAAAAAGGTCACAGCATTTGATGTTATTACAACCAAGACTCCTTTTAATGCCTGTCCTCCACATATATGTTGTGACAAACAAGATGAAGTGACTTTCCCTTCCAAGTCGTTGTCCCTGATGTCATTGATTGGGCTTTCCATAGGACAGTTAAACCCTTGATGTGGGCAGGTTATTTATTTTCATTCATTTTCTGCAACAGACAAGGGAAAAACAATTGAGAGAGTGCAGGCCTATGGGGAATGCCTTTTTTTTATTATTTTTTTTTATTATTTATTTATTTTTTTGAAATTTGATTAGCAATATTCAGTGAAAGACTCAAAGAATTTTTTCTTCAGTAAACTTGAAGAGGTAAAGAGAGTATTTTTTCCTTGGGGTAAATATGAATGTTGATGCCATATCATCTCTCTCAAACCAAAAATATTTTTTTCAAAGTGATGGCATAGATTACCTAAACACAGTTACTGAAGGCTTTAAATATACAGACACTGTATGGCTTAGGTGGAAATCTTTGAATTTTAAAAATGAATTTAAAACCTTTTCACCATCTATTGTGTCGTGATGCTTTTGAATTTGTTTCTTTGAAATTCTTGATTTTACATAAGTGTTTTTTTGGTAAAAACAGTGTGTGCCTCAAGTTCAAAAAGCAGCTTTATTGGACAATTTTTCCTAAATTTATATATGATGATGATTGCATTTCACTTGTATGATGTTATTTTTGGAACCCTAGCTTAGACTTGATTAAAAAACTGTTTGAAGTCAACTTTGTGATGACAGTCAATTAGCCTATGCTGAATATAGTTGACACATCTAGGTTATAGTCAACTTTGGGAGTTAAAGTCTGTGTAAACACAATTACGATTTGGACTTGGGATGTGGTTTTAAGACTGAAAAGGTGATGTAAGGTGCTCATAGATTCCTTGTGAAAGGTGTCTGATTTGGCTATAGGATAATCAATTTTGATCCTTTATTGATTTTGAATTTCTTGGACACTCACAAAGAAATGCCAGATCCACTTTTATGTATAGATGTTGAGATGTAAATAAACTTCATTCATATCTGCATCATATTTTTAGGATAATGGTAAACAAGGTTAGGAATGAAGAAATGTTCAGTTTTCCTCATATATAGTAAAAGACCAAAATATTAAAAAAGAAATAAGCAGTACTTATTTCTACAGTGAGAACAAAATAAATATAATATAATATAATATAATATAATATAATATAATATAATATAATATAATATAATATAACTAACTCACATGGTTCCTTCCTACATACTTAGGTTTTACTACCAAGCATAGTCTACCATCTTTTTGTAATTGATGTAAAAGAGACACAAATTGGTACCTAATCACTTTTTTTTTGTGTGAAACATCAGAAGAATATCAGTGTTGATATCAACTTATCAAACTAAGCATTGTTGTAATAGGTCTGTAGGAAATGATGGAGTGATTGCTTTCCCAATGATAATGTACTTATTTTTCATTTCAGGTTGGGTTGCAGTGACAGCTGGTCCATATATGCCAGTGAAACTGAGGGCATATACACCGGGAGGTTTGGGCTGCATCGTTAGAAAACCGCTCCTCAAATTTGCTGTTAACAACCGTGGAAGACGTATTAGCCACAAATCTACCTACAAGCTAAAGAAGATGTTGCCCTGGATGTAATATTGGTTTTATAAGGTGGTTTTGAGATCTTACTCATGCACACAATTTCTCCATTTTGTACATATACCCATTACAGAAACATGCCTTTCTTGCCACAGTGGAGGAAAACACTTTTTGTTGCTGCAAAAACTTTTTAGTCACTGTTTAGTTTAAAAAAATTGCTGAAATCAACTCCAGAAGTTGAGTCAAGTGAAAAAAATGAGATTGATTTCAAGGTTTATATCAGTTGTCTTTTTTATCATTTAGCATGCTTGTTGCTATATCTATATTACAGCATCTGGAAAAATGTACTTAATATTGTCAAATTTCTCTTTAACCATGGAGTGAGCTCTCTCACAGTCATGACCGTCTGTTAAGCCATTGCCAAAGTCTCTGTTTGACGCCACTTATGACAGCTTTGGAAGCTCAGTGCAGTAAATGATGTGTAGGCCTTAATTAACTGTGAAGTCAATTAGTATTCACAAGTACGTGTTAGGGCCTTATCAACTTGAAGGGTAATATTGTTAAAGCTATCCATGGTGTGTATGTGATTAATGATAACAGGGATAATGACTTGCACTCTTACTTACTATGGATGGATGCTGGTTGTTATCTTTTACTTTTGGTGCACATAGACTGCTTTATCAGGCTAGGTTCTAACTTGAAGACAATAAGAGTGATAAAGGATCTTATTTGACATTAAAACATCCAACATGCCTGAGGCCTGTACTTGTTAGTATGTGTGCCATTTGATAGACTTATCACAAATGTACAGATTTTGATGAAGTCGATGTCAATTTCAGTCTGGTGGATGGTGTCGTGAATGCACAAAATACATAAAAAAGCAATTATCATTCTGTTGCCAGCAGTGTTCCATTGACCAGGAGGACAAAATACCAATATTGCACATCCTTTGCTATATTGTTATGGAACTTAGTCTAATCTCTTTTAATCAATGATGCCTTATTATTTCCTTTTCCCCTATAGATGCTGGTATATTACAACAAATAAAACATACAATAAATTTGTGTACATGTCTATTTTCACTGTCTGCAAAGTAATATTTTGCCTTCAGATATATTTTAAAGAGGAAGTTTGTTAGTTTTAGTACATTCTTCATTATAGGAAGCTATAATTGTCCAAAAGGCTTACAATAGTTTTTATACTCAAACAATTGTATTTGAACAACAAATTTTCCAGTATTCTCAATTGAAGGCTCTCTATAAACACATCTGCTCTATGTTACAGCAGAGATATTTTTCTACATAATTATGTATTATTTGTGCCATTTTTATGAAATGTGTGTGCATTAAAATGCTAGTCTCTGTTATTAAAAACATTTCAAAGGGCTGGGGCATGATAGAATTTTATCTTATCTAGAAGTCACTGAATCTGTTTCCTAGAATTTATTTGTTTAATGTTTGTATACATGCCATCTTTGTGAATATTGCTTCAATATTTTTTGCTGGTTGGTGTCTGTATATTTGCCACTTTGCTGTCTAGTTTTGAAAATGGTCATTGAATTTGTCACAGCATAAAACATTAAAACATCATTTGAGAAAAATTATTAAATTCAACCAAGGATCCAAGGAGTGTTCTAAACTTAACATTTTGTCGAATGCATAATGGCCTTTTTGCAGTGAACGCCGTCAGTATATCCGCTGATTGGATTAGCTGGTTCACTAAATGGCCATAATGAAAAAATGGAAAAATATATCTGGTTATTATCTTACTAATCAGAAGGCCATGTGTTCGTAAATCATGTATCAACAGATTTTATTAAAATGCCCTGCCAAGTTAGCGATATTCTTTTTGTGGTGTTTTGTTCTTCTGACATTGTTTCTTCGGGGAAATAATACTTGGACCCGGAGTCTGGGAGCGGTCTCGTCTTGCTCGTTACACCGACCACTCTTGAATGAATTCTGTGGCGTGCTGGCAGTTACTGTCATGTAAGAAAGCAATCAACGTNTCGAGACGCTCCCCTTTTTTATTATCCTCTGTCACCAGAACAGTTTAGAATGTTAGCCTTGTTGAACCCTTTTACCAGTACCTTAAGTTATTAGATTTTACTTTTTACACATTATACCAGTACAATCTTTAGAACAGAAAATGCAAAAGCAAGACATTTATTTCAGTGTAACTTAGTGGACTGATTTGATCATAATACCGAAATGCAGGTCATTGTTGAAAAGCAGCTTGTGAAAAGGTATCCTAACCAGGTTTTCCTACCAAAAGAGATTTTCTCCTGTTTCTGCATGACTGACCCATCCCTGCACTTTGATTTGATGTTTCATACTATTTTTACCTCTGCCAAGGAGGTTATGTTTTCACCCCTGTTTGTTTGTTTGTCTGTCTGTCTGTCTGTCTGTCACCAACATAACTCAAAAAGTTATGGACTGATTTTGATGAAATTTTCAGGAACTGTCAAAAGTGGATCAAGGAACAGATGATTAGTAATCAATCAAAAATCAATAAACTAAATCATTATAGAATGAAAATTTAGGGGTGAAACGGCATTGGGTGGAGACTTTGCTGCCTTGGCGGAGGTCTGCGCTCTCGTTAATTAAATGATTCTTAAATGTTTCTCATAAAACACTTAGACCATCATGTCTTCCTGTACAATTAGAAGGAAATGGACATTGGGTACTTTTTTCAGTGGCTTTATCATTTAAGGTCTGAGTACTGATAATAAATAGCTTTGCAGTATATACAGATATAAAAAAAACTTTAAGACAGTTTCAAGTACTGAAAGTATTCCATTATTCTTTTTTTGAGCTCATAAATTTCTGTTAATATTTGCAGCATTGAAGCTTTCTCAATGCAATGTAAAAATCTAGTAAATTATTTTCCTTAGACTTACTGAAGTGATTCCTAGCACTCAAGCAATTGACAACCTGGAATATGCTCATATCTCAAGAACCCAAATACAGAAGTGAAAACAGCTCCTTGCATCTATTTTATGAAGCATTTAATTCCCTAAATTTACAGAATAATAGTCACTATTTCACCATATACTTTTTGATACATCAGAGTTTTATAACTTTGCATTGTTGACTTGTTTTTATTGTCAGAAGTGAAATTTACCTGTCTCTATCATTCACCTTTCTACAGATAATGACGTGCATGCGCAGTTAACCCATTTCGACTTGTCGTGGCCTGGTGACACGTGCAGTCACACATGACCAGTGGAAATGGGTTAACCACACATGCATGTCATCGTAAATAGGCATGGAACCCGACCCACAAAAATGAGTTAACTGCACATGCGCGTCATTATCTGTGGAAAAGTAAATTACGGCAGTTACTCAGAAACTGCTTGTTTTGAACTCATTATGGTTTAAGAGACTGTAATTTTGTGAATGATTTAGGATTTGGTGTACTTTGGTGATTCAGGAAAAATGTTGAAATATCCAAGTCAAATCCAATGTTTGCTTTATAGAGGTCTTCCTCATGTTCTGTGCCTTTAATGTGTCTAAATATTTTATGAATAATTTATTTTGAATTTTCAAGAAATAAGGAAATCAATGTTTCCAAAATCTTGCAAGTATTTTGTGGACAATCAGCACTGCTTTGATAGGTTTTGACTTTACACTTTGTCATACAAAAATATGAAACCAAAATCACTGATCTTAAACATAATTGAAAGTACGAGACCTTTGACGTGTAAAGCATATTGAATATAATTTTCTAACTCCTTTCATCTGATCTTGGACAAATGTTTTATAAGCCCAAGAAGTAATTATGGTTGTTGCAATTTGCAGCACTTCATAGCTGATGTAACCAGCATTCCCATTCCAATGTGTGCATCCTAAATTACCCTGTAGGAAAAGTTTAGAAATAAACTGATTAGAAAGATAGAAACTATTAAGGGCAATCCCTTGGCAGAGCTGCAGCAATCTTTTCATGGCTAAATCAATACAGTTAGTTACTATTGGGGTTATTCAGTGAAAATCTATCCAAGTCGTGACTTAAGATGCAAGTTTCACTTAGATATAATTTAGGTAGGACTGACCAAATGCTAATGTCTGTAACACAGAGCAGCACACTAATTGTCTGGTACAATGTGGACAGTTTAATAGAAATACCCATAGCATTATATTGCTCCTTTTGTGCCATAGATATGTGTCTGTGCTAGTCTAGAAGATTCATATCATCTGTGCTTCAAATAAGAAAACATCATCAGATATCATTCTGTCATACAAGATGAAGTGACTTCCCCTTCCAAGTAATTGTCCTTGATGTAATTGCTTTGGTTTTCCATTGGACAGTTGAAAATGGTTTATTTTTCTTAAACAGAATAGGACAGTATAGGCAGGTTATTCATAAAGTCTCATTTGCTGCAATCATTCCTTGCAACACCCAATGGAAAAAATGATTAAAAAGTGCTGGAAATGCTGCATTTTCTTTTATAAACTTAATATCTTGATTCAATTTTCAAACACCAAGATTTGACTATTGATATTTAGAAATAAACCTAAGGAATATTTTTGTCAGTTTGCCTGAAGAGGTAAAAGAAGCATTTTTATCCTTGAGGTTACTGTGTGAATTTTGATGCTATATCTTCTCTCTCACACCAGATGACAAAATTATCTACAATAATCTCTCTGTAACTCGGGCCTCATAAATGGATTAGGCATTTACAAACACTACCCACAGATCTTTTAGCACTAACACTCATATGAACCACAAAACCCAAAAATTAACCAGCATTACCAGAGCAGATGAATGTTAGTGTTAGCTATCACTTTGTTGTTGCTAAATAATTGTACAGTGTTTTGTGGTTAATATAGGTGTTAATGCCAAAAAAGATCTGCAGGTAGTGTTAGTAAATGTGTAATCCATTTATGAGGCCTGAGTTACAGAGAGATTATTGTAGATAATTTTGTCATCTGTCAGTCTTATACAAATTGAACCAAAGCCTGCTAATAACAAACAAGTACTTTGAACATTTTTTGCTTTATTAGAATTAATCTTTAGTATTTGACATTACAGAGATGTATTTAAAACAGTTGTTAAAATTCAATTTGAAAAAAGGTCACAGCATTTGATGATGTTATTACAACCAAGACTCCTTTTAATGCCTGTCCTCCACATATATGTTGTGACAAACAAGATGAAGTGACTTTCCCTTCCAAGTCATTGGCCCTGATGTCATTGATTGGGCTTTCCATAGAACAGTTTAACCCTTGATGTGGGCAGGTTATTTATTTTCATTCATTTTCTGCAACAGACAAGGGGAAAAACAATTGAGAGAGTGCAGGCCTATGGGGAATGCTTTTTTTTTTTGCTTTATAAACTTACGTAACATCATGGTTCAATCTTGGGTCAATTTCCAAATACCCAAATTTGATTAGGAATATTCAGTGAAAGACTCAAAGAATTTTTTTCTTCAGTAAACTTGAAGAGGTAAAGAAAGCATTTTTTTCCTTGGGGTAAATATGAATGTTGATGCTATATCATCTTTCTCAAAGAAAAAATATTTTTTTCAAAGTGATGGCATAGATTAGCTAAACACAGTTACTGAAGGCTTTAAATATACAGACACTGTATGGCTTAGGTGGAAATCTTTGAATTTTAAAAATGAATTTTAAAACCTTTTCACCATCTATTGTGCCATGATGCTG